TTGTAATAAAATGATCTCAGCCAATATCCGCAACTTTTCTGACAAGAAAGGCAACATGTTCAAATCACATGTGAGTGAAATATTCACCTTTTGTGAATATGGCACGCAATAAACACAATGAAAATCCATTTCTAATGTAGAAAAGTTCCATAATATATTTTCATATTAATCAAGTACAAACATCCCATATGCTTAATTTTATATGCAATAGTGATGGTTTAACAATATATTTCACAGGTTGTAAAGCGTATGGTAACGAAATTAGCCCTGGCTCGGAAGGGATACAATGGGAGAAAGGAATATGGTAATGCTTCAGAGGAATGTTATGAAATGTGCATTACAGAGAAAATATTTACTTGTTTAACCCACGAGCACCAGCTCAGTAATGGTGTCTGTCAACTTTCAACATACGGGTACCTAGATGCACCACCATCCCGCAGAGAGACGGGAGAGCACGGATGGAGTTTTGTAGTGAGAAACTTCGCGTAACATTACAGGAGTGAAAGCGGGAAACTGTTTCAATGGAAAAAAATGTTCCTCCGTGTCCTTTCATGGTGCACAGATGAGATATATAGAACATAAGAACCATTGTTTCAACCAGCAACTCATATCTACTCCTTGTTGAGGCAAGCTGCATGCTGCGTTTTCTTTGACCATTCAGTCAAGACAATATGACAATGTTTAGTACTTGCTCTGGTGAAATGAATATTGATGCAATGCGTATTATTCTCCCTAACGGAATCAGTTCTGTCGCTGATAATGCTCTATTTCCCATTAAGGCGGATGAAATGATGTGTTTCGACTCATGTTCTAATTGTTGTGGTTTTGACAGTTTGTGTTAAGTGCATAAGTGTATTATAGTCTTGTCGCTTTAGCGCTGACAATGTTCTATTATGTAAATATGAAAACAAGGTGATGCGTTTTGACTCGGTACTAATTGCTGTGGCTGTGACAGTCTGTATCAATGTTTTTTTCTGTTATTGAGATTGAGAATTTTCATGTAATTATCGCGGGTTTAGGGGCGGATGTTGTGGGAGTTGTGTTGGGGTGGGGGTAAGTAGGATTGCTTCCATGGATGATTAGAACTAAAGCAATTGCATTTCCATTTGGTCAAGACTTGCTCTGGTGGATGGTTCTGTTCAACCATAAAGAACCCTCCTGGGATAAGTGCAGTGGACCAGTTGTTTATGTATCATTCTGTTGTACATGTAGGTAGAGGGTCTTCAATTCATGAAAAATTGATAGTGACAGTTTGGGTGTTTACACATTAAAACATTCACATGTGTTTATATTGAGAATTAGATAACATCATAGTGTAATATAATATTCTAAGGGTAATTGAGGTGTGACAGGCATCAATAGGTTTGAAAATCTACAACAGCTGACTTTTGTATGATATTCAATGTTGCAGGTCTGCACGCCAGCAGAAACCTTTGATCATCGGTTCGTCATGATTGTGTTTTTAGATTTGTCAGCACCTTTTCGAGCTCGTGGTAAATGTCTGAGACCTGCGTCATTTCGGGCTTTCCTCCACTCCAAGCTGATACGCTTTGATGTTTCGTACTATTAACAAGTTGCATACGAGAATGACGTCTCGTGATTGTTTATGAAAAAAAGGAGATGTTACCGGTGTAACGAACATCTGACATCTGACAGGACCGGCTCTGAATCAGTAAAACGTGTATCAACCTTCGATGTTCTATTGTCAACATTTTTTTTCATTTTCTTCATCAATAGGGAAATAAATAAATAAATAATCGTTTGGAGTGATTGTTTTTTCTACTTACTCATAGAAACTTTCCCTTTCTATATAATAAATAGCTACCAAACGAATTTGCTTACAAAGAAAACACAAACAATTGAAGGTAATCTTCTGTCACATTGCGTTTTATTGTTACAGGAATATGTCCTTTTGTTTTCAATGAGCGTATTCAAAATAAATCAATATTTTCGACTATAAAGGTTTCAAGTAATATTTATATGTGTCCCCGTGTTCGTTAACATGATATCACCCTTGCAGCAGTGTTTCTAAACTGATGGGTAAGAATGATCTCATTGAAAGTGAAGCGTAAATCTTTAAGGTATTTTCTGTCAGCGTGGCGTATAATTATCGCCAGCCACGAAGTAGAAGGGGAATATAGGAGCGGGTGCTAGGTCTAGTGGTGAATTAGTGCCTTTTGATAGTTTGGGACTTTTGAAAAAACAATTTTCGAGTTTCAATAGCTACGACTTTGACTTAGACCGGACATGCCATATTGGCGAGGGGATATGAGTAATTCATGATTGTTTTTAAAGGAATTAGTCATGTTGTTGTCAATTTGGGTATGTAAAACTTAGGATTAAAGTTTTGTCTGGGACAATAATACTTGTCTCTAATCAATCCATTCAATCAACCCCGGACTTCAATACGGTATGAAGGAATCTGAGACCGTGAACAGTCAGCTAAAGCGAACAATCATTAGTCAATTTCGGATAAAGCCTTCCGAGTGTTTAATCCCTTGTTGACAAATGGTCATTTAGATAGTATCTAGCTATAATTGGTCACAAAGTTTTTTTCGAGCCATGTTCAAGAAAAAAAGCAAACAAGTGAATCTTCAGTCAAAGCACGACAATATCTAGGAGATAAACCTGCTGTGAAATTTGCTATAGTCCCACTGTAGTACTAATTGGGATCCCAGAGCTTTATCGCACGGTTTCAAATATCTTAATACATATTCTATCGATGTGTTCATACACAAGGTTACCGTGTGTATAGGCTGCATTTAAAAGAGGTTTCAGTGGGAAAAACTCCTTTCAACCACTTAAAATCAAGTATCATGTTAGAATATACTTAAATTTAATTTTGTGTTTGTTGTCAGCAACATTAGATCAACATGACGACGGCCTGTAAATGATCGAGTCTGAACTATACCAACCAAAGCTTGATAACATGAGCAACGATCCACCCTTTTTAGTTACGATGATACACATTGTAACTCATTCACTCGCTCCATTGTTCAGACTTTGTAAAACTGTTATATTGCTGACTCTGTAGTTAAAACATCATTCACTTGTCACTGCTTTGTATACGATGACTAGAGTACCGTGAAACCTTGCAAGACAGAAAAGTTTGTTTGATAGCCAGACCACCCCTGCCTGTTATGACAAGCATGTGTTGCTTGTGATCGATTATAACACGGATCTTCACCGGATGTCAGGAACGACTATAAATATACAAAATACATTTTTTTCCGTAAAAACAGTGTCTTCAATCTGATGACACTGGTTTGAGATGTTTTTATTCGTTTAATGCTGATATTATTTGATTCATGCTGCTGTGTTCTAAGACCGATATGTACATCAATATATGGACAATAAGTAGTTTAAATACTGTCTCGAACTCAAGACATTCAACTTGCAATGAGGGTGGTTGGGTAGCCTAGTGGGTAAAGCGTTCGCTCTGCACGCCGAAGACCCGGGTTCGATTCTCTCCATGGGTACAATGTGTGAAGCCCATTTCTGGTGCCCCAGCCGTGATATTGCTGGAATATTGCTAAAGCGGCGTAAAACCATACTCACTCACTCATTCATCTTGCAATGAAACGCGTCAGCGTTGGAAGTATTATGATTGCATTGTTTTAAATATTTCTTGAAATGTGTTTCCGTCATCTGATTATCAGGCAAATACTGGTGTTGCTTTTGCATGTTTGCTTCTATTATTTCTAGCAAGCAGATGATGTGCCAATCAGCACCAATGTCAGAAGTTGAATCAAGACAAAACAGTTCAGGTTGATGTCCCGCTGACCAAGAGAGAAGATATTCTAATTTCACTGTAGATCTTCCGGATAAGGAATTTCCTGTTTAAAACTAAGAAAGTTGTAATAAGTTGTTGTCAGCATTTTATTACAGGTAATTAGGAACAATAGATTTGAATAAATGACTATGACAGTTAAAAGGACAACTTACATGGCAAAGTTTACATGGCCTCAGTCTGAAAATTTAAAATGTTTTGAGAACATGTAAAAGCAAAGTGTCATGTCAATAAAGGACTAAATATATAGTATGGGAAATGACCGGCCATTTCTGTTGAGCCCCACACCAATTACTTATATGTTAATAAAATTTGCCTTGTAGAAAACAAAGAGCTGAATTTATTGCAGGGAACCAGATAGAAATGTAGATCCTCATAAAAATCATCAACTTTCATTGACTTCTTTGAGAGACATTTAGAAGTTGGAGAACTAAGTAAGGATAAGACATACGGATGAACAACTTCTTTATTACAATTAGGAGCGACGTTTCGGTGTAGGTTCTAACACCGTTATCATGCAAGTGATATACAGAGTATGGTAGACATGTAGATATGCAGGATATGGGAAGTTTTTTTACAGTTGAGTAGGTTTAAGTTGCAGTTACACTGCTGGAGTGGAGAAACCCTTTATTACACAGAAGGGTAAAACATATTGGCCGGTGAAGCCTGTCATATAAACAAAAGGATGAATCCAGTAATATAAACAACAAAAGGATTATGACTGATTGGGGTCTTTGATGAGTTGATGGTACGCCTTGGTCACGGTTGATTAATGGTTGGAGTCTTTCAATGAGTTGATGATATTCCTTTCAATACTTGTGGAATCCAAGCTAATTTGTCACATGCTACATGGCATCTGTCACTTGGTATTCAGAAATAATGGCACTTTCAAACTGAATAATGTGGCATATTTGGTGCAATATATTATTCACGTTCATCAATAATAGGTTCACATGGACGTACATACATACGCTCCACCAACTCCACCAACTTGATATCATTGTGCCGTCCAGGGAACTCTAATACATTCATGGACTGAACTATATCAGGGGGTTTGGATATCAAAGACTAACAGCTTTGTTCAATCATTTATGTGGCTTTTATAGATTATTTGCCTAAAGTACAACTGGTTTCTCTGACAGTAGGCGCCCCAAGCCTGTTTCCATCGAGACATACAAGGAGCTGCCATACATTCAGGGACTGAAGTACAGTTTGCGCGTAGGACACTAGGGCCATCCCCTTGCTTCTTTTGAGTCATCCAAGGAACTCAGATACATTCTTGAAGGTCTTTAACCTTGGGACTTTTGAGAAGATGGTGTTACTAATTCTGTTACTTACATTCGTGTACCACTCAAGGGGACATGCAGTGGAACAGGAAATTGTTTACGGTATCGGAATCAAGCTATGTAACCTCAAATGTATTGAAAGGGGAGCCTGTTTGAGTTTTTCATACAACATTGACAGACTTGCGTGTCATCTTTTGCACAATGAGGCAATGAATTCGACAATGAAGGAGGGATACATTGTTCACCAAAAGCAAAGAAACCAAGTAATACTTCTTTTTGGATGGGAGGATAATAATCCTCATTGATGTCAATGTGTAAAAATCAAACAATTTTAACGATATCTTTAATCATGCGGAATTCATGTTGTAAAATGTGTGACATTAGGGGGGTAATGATGTATCAAGGCAGCTCTCATTATATTTCAATTCGTCATACAGACTGATAAGATCTAAATTTGAAAGAAATTAAATGTGTTGTCCTTTGTCTCTCGATGGCTCTAACTTTTGTCCTGAAACTAATCATTGATATCTTAGCACGACGATCGGACTCAAATTTGTGCATTTATAACCAATGTTTTGCTCCTCACTGAAGATATGTTCTATAACAAACAACATGGAAAGGAAATTATCGATGTTGTGGAAATACAGTATCTTAAGTCGACGAAATACTGCTTCTTCAAAAGTGGTGGTAATTTACATGCATATGGTGTTCTTTAAAATGCAAATGGTATTACACTAATAACATATTGGCTCTCTCATCAAACACACCACATTGCATCAGCACGTTTTGTCTTCTTTCATCTAGTTTGATTAGGGTTTGATTAAATAAATAAATGGAACCTCATATGCACTTATAAAACAAATAATTCACAATAGTTGGTATTTAAATACCCCTGTTGTACAATCAGGAGTAAGAAAACATCACCTTTCCTTAAAGCAACAGACATTTCATCCTCAGTAAGTGCAGTCTTATTACTGATACTAATTTAATGTTATGTTTTTTTCAGGTTTCAACAAATATGTGCTCCTTCGTGAACTGTAAATCGAACACTCGTTGTGTTGAGACACGCCATGGTGTCGCAGTATGTGTTGAGGGTAAGGCTTCTTTTATGACCAGGCATAGACCTTATAATATGTTTGCTAGATGCGACATTCTCTGCGTGCACAGTCAGATTGTGAAAGTGAAGCTGTGTGCGATGGTGCAGATTGGGGTGAGAGTGAAGCTGGGCTTGAGGGTGTAGCTGTGGATGAGGGCAAATCTGAAGGTGTATATGACAGTTATGTTGAATCTGAGTGTAATGATCTATACGAGGCTGAGGGAGAATCTGAGGGTGTTTTAAATGTGATGTTGATGTTGAAGCTGAGTGTGATGTGAAGATGAGGGTGAGGGTGCTGATGAGGCTGATAGTAAAGCTGAGTGTGATAGAGTAGGTGTGTTTGTGGGATGGGTGGGGGTGAGTAGGGTGTGCTGGTGGGGTGAGGAAGTTGAGTGTGACTGTAAGGGGGATGTTAAAGCTGTGTCTGATGGAGAAGATAAGGGGGATATTGAAGCTGAGGGTGAGAGTAAAGCTGAGGGTGATCGCGTAGGTGCGGTGTTGGTGTGTGGGGTTGGGGTTGGGTGGGGGTTGTGTTTGACTGTACGGGGGATGTTAAAGCTGTGTGTGATGGTGAAGCCGAGGGTGATGTTGAAGCTGAGGGTGATCGCGTAGGTGCGGTGTTGGTGTGTGGGGGTGGGGTGGGGTGGGGTGGGGTTGGGTGGGGGTTGTGTTTGACTGTACGGGGGATGTTAAAGCTGTGTGTGATGGTGAAGCCGAGGGTGGTGTTGAAGCTGAGGGTGATCGCGTAGGTGCGGTGTTGGTGTGTGAGGGTGGGGTGGGGTGGGGGTTGTGTTTGACTGTACGGGGGATGTTAAAGCTGTGTGTGATGGTGAAGCCGAGGGTGATGTTGAAGCTGAGGGTGATGTAGGCGTGTATGTGTGTGTGTGTGTGGGGGGGGAGGGGGTTGATAGGAGGGTGGTGCTGTTTGTGACTTTTGGGGGAGGTTAAGGCTGATGGTGAAGATAAGGGTGAGGATATACCTGATGATGATGGTGGTGAAACTGATAATGAGAATGATTTGGTGGTGTGAGGGTCAGACTGAGGGTATATGTGATGGTTAGGGTTAGGTAGAGGGTTAATCTAAGGCTGATTGTGACGATGTAGCTGAGTGTGATAATGAAACTGGGTGTGATCGTGAAGATGAGGACGAGGATGTAGATGAGTGTGAAGCTGAAGCTGATAATGTTGTAGCCGCTTAGGAGATAGTGGGATAAGTATGATGGTACAGGTAGGTTAGTGTAAAAGCTTAGGGCGATAGTGGAGATAAGGGTGAGAGACATGGTGAAGCTGAGGGCAATTGGAAATTTATGGGAGACTTGTACATAAAGTTGAGTTGTGGGTGTAACCTTGGTTATGGGTATGATGGTAAAGATGGGGTTGACTATGAAGATGAGTGTGATGGTGACGCTGAGTGTCATGGTAAAGCTGAGTGATATTGAGCTGAAAGTGATATTGATGTCAAGTGCGACTGTGTAGATGTAGGTGGTGGTGCAGGTGGTGTTAGTGTTGATGTGGGTTTAGGATGGAGCTGAGGATTATGTTTTGGGTGACCATGAAGCTGACATTGAGTGTGCTGATGCAGCTGGGTGTGAAGGTGAAGGTGAAGGTGACGATGATCGTGATGACCATCTTTGAAGGTGAGGCTAAGAATGTAACTTTGGGTGAGGGTGAAGTGAGTTTGGGGGTAGATTGGGATTAAGGTGAAGCTGAATGTGATGGTGAGGTTGTGGTTGAGAATATAATTGAGCTTGATGGTGAAGCTGAGCGAGAGGATGACGCTGAGAGTGAAGGTGTAGATAGGTGTGAAGCTGATCTTGAGGATGTAGCACTATTAAATAAAGTCTTATCCGATTTCCATTTAATTATCTCTGAACCGGAAGATTATTCCACTCCACAATTAAATCAATTAACTGAGAGAATTTAACTGTGCCCTGTATCGTTAATACAAACGTCAGCCTGAATTAAGTGGAAAATGCACAGGTCACACTGTCACCAGCGCCCTGGAATCGAGATGCATAACTGACTCTGATTGCCCAGCAGACAAGATGTTCGTGTGCTTCACCAAGACCTGCAAGTGTAAACCAGGATACAGCTTTAATCCTGTCAACAACAACTGTGTCCGAGGTAAGTCAGTTTTGTAGGGTTTTATGCGGCTTTTGTGGCTGCGATCCTAACAAAATAAAGACAGGATATATGCTCGTATCCAGTATTTGTGGCATCTTTTTTGTGACAGGAAAGGCCAGATGTTCTACTCACACTTATTTCGTTTTGTCTCAGTGGACTAAGTCGGCCAAAATTAAGTCTGGTATTAATGGGTTTTAACTCGGGAAATACAATGCTGTGTCACATAGGGAAATATTGACTGTAATCGTCAGATAGTTTGGCACACCAACAAATATAATGAAAACATGGGTTGAACCATGCAGCAAGAAAGAATTAATTTCCAATGTACAAAAGTAAATATTGTATTTTCATACAAAGCGAGTGCTTAATGATATATGCAATGTTGATGGCGTGGCAATATGTTTCCCAGGTTGCAAAACGTATGGTAACGGATTTACGACATACCAAGGACTAGGCATATGGGGATACAACACTAAAGAGGAGTTTGGTAAAACTGCAGAGGAATGTTCTGAAATGTGCATAACAGAGAAAACGTTTACTTGTGTTACCTGCGAGCACACACTCAAAAACGGTACCTGTCTTCTGTCAAGATACGGGTACCTAGATGCACCACCATCCTCAAGAGATACCGAAAGTCAAGAATGGACCTTTACAGTGAGAAACTGTGTGTAACAGAAAATGCGTAAAAACAGGAAACTGTGTCCTTTCATGGTGCAGAGGAGTTGTATAAAACATAGGAACAACTATTTGCACCAGCTGCTCGTATCTACTCCTTGTTGAGGCAAGCTGCATGCTGGTGAAAGGAATATTGGTGCAATTCTTCAGATTCCGTATCCCTTCAAGGATAATAGTTAAGTTGCGTAAGCACTGTTTGTATGGAAGATTACATGGCGGGTTTCGACTCGGGATCGAATTGCTGTGGTTATGACAGTTTGTATTCGTGCTCTATAATTCTATGAGCATACCTCTAGAGCATATTTGGAATAGTCCTAATGCAATTGCATTTTTATTTGTTTAGTACTTGATCTGGTGAATGGTTCTGAATACAATGTTTTAACCCCAAAGACCCCCTTCTTGGGTAAGTGCAGTAGCCCTGTGGTTTACATATCACACCATATAATGCATTCAGGAAGAGAGTATTGAATTCATTATGTAATTTGTGTGTCTACACAGCTCATACAATTACATATGTTCGTCTTAAGAATTAGAAGACAAAATAGTATAATATAATATTCAAAGCGACATTGAGGTGTAATAAGCATCAGATGGACAGAGAATCTTCAACAAGGTGATGCGTATCAGGTGGGACAGTAAGGTGATGCATATCAGTTGGGGCAGTAAGGTGATTCTTATCAGGTGGGGCAGTAAGGTGGGAGAGGAAGGTGGTGTTTTTAAAGTGGTGCAGCAAGGTGTTAATTATAAGGTGGGACAGGAAGGTGGTGCTTATCAGGTGGGGCAGTAAGGTGGGAGAGGAAGGCGGTGTTTTTAAAGTGGTGCAGCAAGGTGTTAATTATGAGGTGGGACAGGAAGGTGCTGCTTATCATGTACTTATAAGGTGAAGTGGGACTTATAAGGTGTGAGGGGAAGGTGGTGTTTATAAATTTGGGAAGCCAGGTAGGACAGCAACCTTAAGGTTGCGTTTTTAACGCCAGAGGGGACACGGGTGGCCCAACCGCCTTAGGCGCCGCAATTCGCAGTGCAGCGTTCCGTCCCGTGGGAACGCCAGGAACCGATGATCATCGGCTCAGATATCGGTTCAGTTACGGCATTAAAGAAGTTGTTATCCATAAATGAGTCTACTTTGTCTTATTTCACATAATCCAAACATCCACGATTAGATATTTTTTATTAATGATTACATGTACATGAAATGAAGTATTACTCGGTTCAACAATTCCTTTACAAACATTTTAAAGCGAGGTAATCCATTCCCTTTAATGGCGTGCCTTAACATTTCGATACTGACATCCAATCGGATTGACGCTATTCCAAAGTGGGCACACGTGTATCATATGTTGGATTTTCACAAATCGACATGTCTTTTCACGTTCTTCATCAATAGGCAAACAAAGGAAAATCAATTTCATGACCCGTGTACAGCATAGTTCTGAACAAATGGGTAAGAATTTTCTCATTAAAAGAAAAACGTAAATAATTAATTCTATTTTCTTCTATTCTTCTCCTCTCGTGTACAGCATTGTTCTGAACTAATGGGTAAGAATTTTCTCCTAAAAAGAAAAACGTAAATAATTAATTCTATTCTCTTCTCTTTTCAATTGAAATAATTAGTCAGTTTGCTCTCAGTTGGGGTATGTACAATTTAGTATCAAAGCTCAGCCTTGAACTATAATTGCTCTTCTCTAATCAAGGCAATCATTTAAACCAGAACTCTGGTGTGGTGGAACATTAAGCGTACTTTCTTTAGATGTGTCTGGGGGGCACGGGTGGCCCAGTCGTCTAAGGCGCCGCGATTCGCTGAGCAGACTTGCGTCCGTTGGGCACACCTTTGTTTGTTGGTTTGAATCCCGGTTCGCCCCGATTATCATTCTAGGTTTGTCAGCATCATACCCGTGCTCGTGAGTTTCACCGCATTGGTAAACGTCTGAGACCTGCATCACTTCCGGCTTTCTTCCCATACTGGGCTGTCACGCCGTGATATGACTGGAACACAGTTAAAAGCGGCGTTAATGTAGATGTGCCTGAGGCCAAATAGTGTATCAAATGGGTAAGAATTTTCTCATTAAAAGAAAAACGTAAATAATTAATTCTATTTTCTTCTATTCTTCTCCTCTCGTGTACAGCATTGTTCTGAACTAATGGGTAAGAATTTTCTCCTAAAAAGAAAAACGTAAATAATTAATTCTATTCTCTTCTCTTTTCAATTGAAATAATTAGTCAGTTTGCTCTCAGTTGGGGTATTTACAATTTAGTATCAAAGCTCAGCCTTGAACTATAATCGCTCTTCTCTAATCAAGGCAATCATTTAAACCAGAACTCTGGTGTGGTGGAACATTAAGCGTACTTTCTTTAGATGTGTCTGGGGGGCACGGGTGGCCCAGTCGTCTAAGGCGCCGCGATTCGCTGAGCAGACTTGCGTCCGTTGGGCACACCTTTGTTTGTTGGTTTGAATCCCGGTTCGCCCCGATTATCATTCTAGGTTTGTCAGCATCATACCCGTGCTCGTGAGTTTCACCGCATTGGTAAACGTCTGAGACCTGCATCACTTCCGGCTTTCTTCCCATACTGGGCTGTCACGCCGTGATATGACTGGAACACAGTTAAAAGCGGCGTTAATGTAGATGTGCCTGAGGCCAAATAGTGTATCAAATGGGTAAGAATTTTCTCATTAAAAGAAAAACGTAAATAATTAATTCTATTTTCTTCTATTCTTCTCCTCTCGTGTACAGCATTGTTCTGAACTAATGGGTAAGAATTTTCTCCTAAAAAGAAAAACGTAAATAATTAATTCTATTCTCTTCTCTTTTCAATTGAAATAATTAGTCAGTTTGCTCTCAGTTGGGGTATTTACAATTTAGTATCAAAGCTCAGCCTTGAACTATAATCGCTCTTCTCTAATCAAGGCAATCATTTAAACCAGAACTCTGGTGTGGTGGAACATTAAGCGTACTTTCTTTAGATGTGTCTGGGGGGCACGGGTGGCCCAGTCGTCTAAGGCGCCGCGATTCGCTGAGCAGACTTGCGTCCGTTGGGCACACCTTTGTTTGTTGGTTTGAATCCCGGTTCGCCCCGATTATCCTTTATTATGTAAAATTGCATATGAAACAACATATTTACATCCTCTGGCTGGATTGGTTCTCAATCAAGTAGAGAGACAAAGAAAGGCTTTCTTTAAAAGAGTAAAGGTTTGTTCAGTCTACAGAGAGAAGAATTGTATTCTATCGCAGTTTAAAAGATTTATGTAGCAACAACAGCTTTTTAACATTTGCAGAAGTACAAAACAACTTTCAAATTAAAGGTACTTTACTTGACTACAATAGATTGATGCTAAATATCTCTAAATCATGGGAAAAAGCAATAGATTTTGTATCACAGCTAATTTATACATAAGTAACATCTTGAGAGACTTGTTGATAAGAACAAAGGGCTCCAGAATATATTATGATAAACTCATAGCTACAACCAACTTTCCTCTGATGTGTGATAAATGGGAAAATGGACTGAATCAAAGCATTTTATGGAATAATGTTTTCTCAAATTGTAGAATGTGTACCAATGATGTTAAACTAATAGATTTCTAGTATAGATTCATACATAGAGCTCTATATACCAAAAAGGAATTATTGAAAATGAAGTTAATAGATGATGATATATGCTCATATTGTGTCCCTGAATCTGAAAACGTACACAATGTGTATGTAGAATGCGTTTTTGTAAAGGAATTTCGATTAGAAATTGAAAGGTACCTAAACTCAAATCTTGCATATGATATTCATATTAATATTCTGGATAAGTTATTTTGCTACAACAAAATTAACCTTTTCAAACAAACATATAATTCTTCTTGCAAAAAGATACATTCACCAGTCAAGCATTAAGAAAACTCCATTATGCTTTCCTTTTTTCATCAAACTATTGAAAGATATATGTAAAATAAAAAAAATATATCGCAATGAAAAATAGTAGTAATAACAGAAAATGGAAGGAATTATCAGTCTACTTATTATGATTCCTAAGTCAATCAATGTATTTACTTACCTATATCTGTTCATGTTTTAATGTAAGATTCTATGAATTGCTACACTTATATGCCTCATGTACCAATGTTACATTTATGTCCACTGAATTGAAATAAAAATATTTTTAAAAAGAATTGTATCTGTCTGTGTGTCTGATATCATCAGTGATGTGGTAGGGAGCCATCAGGAGAGTCTACAGGGGTATCCAACATGACGACCTGAAATATATCTATATATATGCAATTTGTTTGGATATAATTTTCAAAGTTTAGGTCAGAAAGGACAACTATAATATGGGTCCTATTTTCCCAACAATTTCTAAAAAAGAAAAGCATTGACAAAAACCTTAGTAGTGTAGTTGGCTCATATTATTAATATAATCAATCTTTGTTGGTTTGGATGTTTAGTACTTTATTCTACTCTATATGTAGATTCAAACATTTATAGAAAAAACTTAGTCTTGTAGACGTTTCAAGGAAGTGTTTTCTGATTTTCTAACGATATGGATCAAGCATGGTCTGTAGTCTATTTCCAGGTTTACCATGGGGATAAAATCCTTGACTACATTTATTACAGTTACCAAAAGATCTTTTGGAAATATTTACATTTTAATTTGCAGGGCTTTTTTGTAAGAATTAAACCATAGTTTTTTTTAATTTAAACGACAATGCCAAGGCAACTGTTTTAGTGTCCACTTATCCAACAGTCAAGTGAAGAAAACTCAAACTGTCAAATTGCTGATGATTTTAAAAAAAAAAAAATTATTTTCCCTCATCTCAGCAGGTACATCATTTATATCTACATGTCAATGCAATTGTGGTACATGGTTTTCAAAAAATGTACATCTTTCCATACAATAAATTCTTGTCTGTAAAGTCCACGTACTGTATCAGTGTATCACTGTTCAGTTTTTAACAAAGTGTGGAAGGATTGGTTGGTTGGTTTCTTGTTGAACGCCGCACTCAGCATTATTCC